TCTCGACTTACACAACGTATTTTCGCCGTTCCTGTTTTATCATGCAGACCTAAAGATATTCGGCTTCGCCTCATATCTTTATATCTTATAAAACACTGCTGCTGATGTTTTAAATAGTACTTCAAATGCATGGGAATCCTAGAAACGCAGGTTTGTCGTTCTCTTTTTGAACTGATAATTATAATGGTTTATGGTCAGAACGTTTCCCTGACCGATGTGTAAAACATACACTATTTTGGATACAGGGTTACATTGGGTGACGGTGCCTGAAAAGTCATGGTTTAAATATAGTTGTGTTTCTTCCAGTGTTGTAACGAGTCACCTACAGGTCGAGTCACGACTCAAGTGGAGTCGAGTCACGAGTCAAGTCGAGTCGAGTTACTACTCAAAGGTCGAGTCACAAGTCGAGTCAAGTCATTTCAGTTTCTGATCGAGTCGAGTCTGTGACTTCACTCGAGTCACTGGTTTACTTTAGTCATTTAATAACAGTATCTGGGCAGCTATAGGCTGTACCAATATCACAGTTCTATAGTCAATATTAAGTACGACCACATGAGATTTCCAATGTATCCAATCATGCCTGCTGATCGAGTGTACGTATAGGTCCTACATGCAACTAGCATAACTTGCAACTGGAGTCAGAATTAACAAGGAATAAACTTTAATTGGCCACGCTTTGTAAGTTAATTTGAAATTATATAGCCCTTCATAAATTAGTATAAGTACAAAAAATTTTTAGACTCCATTTTAAAAACTGTGGCACTAGCGTTGTTTCTAAAAACATAAATGTAATATAAGCATGCCCGTCAGGAATATATTCTATGCAAATCCCATATATTTTCTGATAAAGTTTCGAAGTTCTCATTGTTCACAGGGCTCATTGTTCTTCCCAAGCAATACAATCACAATATTTTTGATAATTTATTCTGTATAAGTTGTAGCTGAGTTGACTCGAGTCATTTACGGAAAAATCAGCAAGTCGAGTCCGAGTCGAGTCATTTGGGGCTGTTGACTCGAGTCGAGTCATTTTACGTATTGGACTCGAGTCGTTGAAAATATCGACTTGAGTTGACTCGAAGTCCGAGTCAATGACTCGACTCATTACAACACTGGTTTCTTCACTCCTGAACCTCCAGAGTTTTTCTCCAGATCCGTATACTCCGATTGTCCTACCTCGCCCAAAATTAACCCATTCACTATAGTTGTCAAACACGTGTAACACTGGCAACACTGCCCTCGGTAGACAACCACATCTTGCGTAAACTGCACCAAATCAATAACTATAGCTTAAAGTGCACATGACATGATTTTTTTTTAAATGAAACAAGCTGTACGTGTAACTTATTTTTCAGTTTCTTGTTTTTATGGTTTGTTCCCGAGATATTTCAATTTGTTAGATATCTATAAATTAGCTCAATTTGCGCTGGTTATAAATCTATTAACTCTAAAAACTGTATAAGATATCTGTTCACGTTTTTCTACATTGTTACATCACATTTACCAGTGAGTGAAGTTTGAAATTATCATCTTGGATGATCGCAGTGATAGTCAACCATGTCGAAGAGCTTGCAACCAATGTGACATCATAAATTAGCGGACATATTCACACTCATTTACATATCAAACAAATTGAAATATCTCCATAAAAGCAAGAAAACGAAAAATGAGTTGCACTACAACTTAAAGAGTTCTTTCACTAAAAAAATAAGAAATTTCATGTTATATGCACTTTAAATTTAATAAACGAAATCTCTTGCGAACGCTAAACTTATTTTAAAACGACTACATTACATTGTGATCACAAATATGTGACAGAATGTAAATCAGCAACCATGTTAACATTTTTCAAGTAAAATATGGGTTAACACTACAGTTCTACTTTCTTACAAATTAAATAATATTTCTAGTTGAAAAAATTACATCAGAGTAACCCGACGCTACGAGAAGCCGGTAATCATGAGAAAAGATTCAAAACTTGAGTTCCCTTCGGATTTTATACACCACAGTAGCGAATCCAGCAATGAGGTACAGGGACTAGCTTGTAGATATAGCTAAAGCCACAGTTAATAACTTCGATGACGGTCTTCCTATGATAGCAATCGCCTTTATAACTGAAGTACACGGTGCGTGTAACCTTACCCTCACTAACAGTAGGATGGCTTTCATTCAACCACGAGACAGCATGAGTTTGACATTTTAGATTTTTATCATATCCTCCCTCGGGACAAATCTTTGACATCTGTGTTCCTGCATTATTACCAACAAATCTGTACCACTTGATTGGAATTTTTGTATCACACAACAATGAAGCCTGTTGGCCTGAAGTTGTATATTGTATATTTCGATCTTTGTTGTCGAGGAATGTATAATTTTTGCATTCTTCACGTCCCACTGAAAATGTACAATAGTTGACCGATTTAACTCTGTAACTTGAGCCTAGCCAATTTCACCCCTCTGCGTTTTTCTATGTTATATTTGAGGTTAATTTAATATGTAAGCTAGATAAGCATTTAAGTTGAAGGAGGTCGTTATTTTAACATATATGTTTTTAACAACAGGGAGAGCGTGAATTTAAGGTTTTATATTATGCTATAATATAATAAAGGCTGTTTTAAATTCGGTAAATGAAAAAAGTGTAACTCCAAAATTTTGGTACTTCAAATATACATGCATGGGCCAAAAATCTCATACTGCATGTAGCTAGCTAATATATTAATTCTGAGACGTTTGAAACTGATATGAGCAAAGGCAACAGCTCATTCACGTTGTTTTGTCAAAGGAATATTGATAATCTAATCTAGCCTTTATTAATACGTTTTCAGACGTTCTCTGGTTTTTAAATATTTATTATTACGAGCTTTCAACCGGCAGTCAAAAGCTCATAACAATAAATATTTTAAAACCAGAGAACGTCCAAAAACTTATATCTGTTTGCATAGAAAACCTATGTTGTTTGTATAGAATTGAAATTATCAAACCACATAGCAAACCATTTCTAATCACAACAGTCTATATAGACACCGCAAGCATGCATCAGCAGATTTTTTTGAGAATTTTGCGGAAAATTTAATCAAAGCTTTTGATGATGAAAATAAAGAATTCTATATTCTTGGTGATTTAAATTGTGATATGGTAAAGACAGGTAATGAAAATATGCCGATAAAGAAAATTAAATCTTTATATGAATTGTATCAAAGGTCACAATTAATTCAAGAAGCTACCCGAGTAACTATGACAACCTCCTCCCTTATTGATCACATAATAGCTAATGCTCCAGAAAAAGTTTCTTATTCTGGTGTTATCCACACTGGAATAAGTGACCATAGTTTAGTTTTTGCGATTAGAAAGATTTGTGTTTTTATGAAACTAGAAAACACAATTGAAGTTAGAAATATGAAGAAATTTGATACCGAAAAATTTATTGAGGATCTGATGCAACAACAGTGGGAAAATGTGTATTTTTTCGCTGAAACTCCAAATGCAAAGTGGGAAATTTGGAAAATGCTATTTTTAGAAGTTTTAGACAGACATGCACCCCTTCAGAACAAAAAGATCAGAACATGACGAGTCCCTTGGATTACAAGTTCCATAAAAGAACTTATTAATACAAGGGACAAGCTTAAAAAAAAGCCATTATTACCAACCTGGAAAATAATCGGTTAAATTATCAAAGAACAAGGAATAAAGTAAATATAGAACTAAGAAATGCCAAAAAAGATTACTGATCCACGAAAATTGCTTGCTCTTCTTGTTCACACGCCCCTTCTGGAAATCAGCTTTAGTTGACGAGGTTAGCGTGTTTGAATAAATAAATAAATCTATCTATGCTTATGCATGGTATGTCTTTGTATGGTACGGTATTGTATGATGTGGTACCGTGTGATGTATTATTGTATGGTATGGTATGGTATGGTATTGTGTGATATGGTCTGGTCTGGTATGCTGCGGTATGTTATGCAGTGTCCTTTAATTTGACGTGGTAACTTGGCATAAGATACACATCATATCATAGGACATTGCATGACATAACATAACATAACATAACATAACATAACATAACATAACATAACATAACATAACATAACATAACATAACATAACATAACATAACATAACATAACAAACCATACCATACTATACATATAATCTATGACACATGCACCATGCCATAGCATAGCATAATATCCAGACAAAACCTTGACACACAAAACCATAACATACCATGCCAAATTATAGATCAACTGTATCATACCAAACCATACTATACCATAACACGTCACTCCATATTACTTATCTTTATACAATATACCACACCACACTATACCATACCATGCCATGTCGCAACATACTTTACCAAACCACACCACCTCATAACAAACCATACCATTTCATAGCATAGCATAGCATACCATAACATACCATACTATACAATACCACACTATACCATACCATGTCATATCATACCATATCAAACCATACCACACCACACCATACCATACCATATCATACCACACCATATTGTACGATATACCACACCATACTCATACCATACGCATATACTATCTCGTTCCGTAGCAAACCAAACCATGCCACATAATGCCACAACGCACCATTCCACTCCATACTATACCACTTCACACCTTATCACACCATAACACATCACACCTCACCAGACCACATATACGTATACCACACCACACCATACTATACTATACTATACTATACTATACTATACCACATAGTACCTTTTACACAATAGAAAAGCAAACCACAACATACCATACCACTATTCTCGTACCCAGAACCCTTCTTACGCGCGGTCAACCGAGGGCGACGAGGGGCTCTGGCCAAATCCATACCGGATACCATAAAAACATGGTATCCAGTTAAACACTGCGCATGCTCAATAGACCTTTCTTAATGCTTAGTGACGTCAAACGCGGATAAACTCATAAACACTTCGGCTTCGATTTTCTTGTTTGTTTTGTTTTGTTTTGAAAGGTTTTTTTTCCGGGAAAATCCCACAAAAGCGGTAGGTTTCGCTAATTTTATTTATTTAAATCAATTAGTAGGTAAGACGTGATGTTCTCAATGCATGTTGATAATATTTAGTATATATTTCCCTCTTAAACGTTGTCAAAGTGACTGAAAAACAAAGCAGTATTAATGGCTATGGATAGGAAGACGAGAGATTGTCTCACTATTTTATTTTCGATTATAAGTTCCTATTTTACAAATTTTTAATGAATTAAACAATTTTTTGTGTTTTATTAAAAGTCATCGGTCATACTTTAAACATACCATACGGCAAATCCGCTGAAAATTGTAAAAAATCGGTTTCTAAGAAGAAAACAATCATCACAAACTTCATATTCTGGCTGGCTTATTTTCTCTTCAGATGGCACTTCGGCTTTGAACATGAACAGAGATTTGTTCAAATTAACATCACTGATTTGGGAATACGACGAGAATCGGCCATAACTATGTTGACTTTTTGCTATAATAAATTTTGCATGAACAACTACCAAAATACAAAGAAAATTTTGAATAGCCTCACAGTAGCTCGGAAGAGTGATTTTTTTGGCTCGATTTGACAATTGCTTTTGTGTTTACAACAATGAATTCCTTCGTTCTTTAGAAAACCCCCATCCAATTGGAGATGACCTTCCGAGGCACTGCGAGGCTTCCAATTTTTTCTACAAGATATATTATAATGGAGTGATTGAATTTTACAATTATTATACAATAAGATAAAAATTGAATAATACAGTAATAGTGTTCACAGTATAAATCCGAATGTGAACAAATGTTTTTTATAATAAATATTATAATGTGGAGTGTAGCTAGAGGTTTGATTGAGGGCTGAAGTGGCGAAATGAGCCAGTCAGAATATGAAGTTCATGAAGGATATTTTCTTTTTATTTGCAATATGGTATGTCCTATGTAGGATAATTTCACTGTCGACTTTTAATAAAACACAAAATAATAGAAGAAATACGAGAGAACTTTGCTCGCAGGGTAAAAAATAGTTTAATTAAAAATCCGTAAAATAACGACTAAAAGAGACAATCTCTCGTCTTCGTATCCGTAGCCATTACTGCTCTGTTTTTCAGTGACTTTGACAACGGTCAATATATGCCAAATTTTATCAACATGCATTGAGAACATCACGTCTTACCCACTAATTGATTTAAATAATTAAAATTAGTGAAACCCACCGCTTTTGTGGGTGATTATCAACAACAATCTTCCTAACTGCTTCGTACTGCTGTTCTTTCAACTTAATATCTTTTCCCCAATTTTCTTGAAAGCGAAAAACCAACGCTTCATGGAGCGGTCGTGTATTTTTATTCATATTTACAATAAACCATATATTTCGTTGTTGCCAATCAGAAGCCAGTTTGATTTGGATTTGGCCAGAGCCCCTCGTCGTGCGCGTAAGAAGAGCTCTGGGTACGAGAAGGACCATACCACATTGCAGCAAACTACACCACAACATACCATACCGCAATTTACCATAGCACACTATACCACATCGTTAATCCATACCACATCACACCATATACTATACCATACTATACCAAACTATGCTATACTATACTAACAACATAAAACGCTCTCTGAGTTTCCAGCGATATACATACCCTTTTCTAGATATATACCTAATAATAATAAACGAACGAACGAATGTATTCCTTCTACTCGTGAGCTCATTTACCATTGTCACATATAGTAAATGTCCAGGCCTTGTGACCCTGGATGGGCACTTAAAAGGAAAGAATACACACACACAAACTGCGCATGAACGAACGTTCAAAGTGAATGCCTCTTGTTAGCCACCTTTATTATTATTAGGTATATATCTAGAAAAGGGTATGTATATCGCTGGAAACTCAGAGAGCGTTTTATGTTGTTATTTTATTTCCTGAGTACGGGTCTTCGACCAATTTCATATTGCTATACTATACTGTATAATACCACATCATATAAAACACGCCAAATCATGCCAAACCACGAAATCTAGACTTGGTTCAAGTCCGTCGAGAAGAGAAGGCAGTGACAGACTTGGGACATTTGCAGCATTTCGAATGTTACTTGCAAAAATTGGCAAGAAGATTTGTTGTTGTTCCCAACTCGCAAGCCACGTCTCAGTAGGACTAATCCGACGGTAAATTTGGCGCGCTTGCAGGGTATCCAAGTCCGTCTCTACCTACTTCTCTCTCATATTTTCGGGCCATTTTTGACCGCTCGCGTGCATCGCTATTTTCAACCCCTTGAATAACGGACTTAAATCAAGTCTACAAAAAGCCATATGACAACACACCCAACTACATCATATCATGAATGTTAATGCGATAATGAAGATCGAATTGCGCTAGTTTTGTGTTATTCCAGACAATATGTCGTTGGAACGTATTCGGCAACTTCCCACTCTAATCTTAACTTTAACCAATTTGCAACAAGTTGAACCTAATAGTAACACAAATTAGGGGCGGACCATTAGAAATCCCTGGAGGGGGGTATAAAATTTTTGCGGCACGAAATTTTTTTTAGTCTAATGTCTCTGCAGGATTGTTTTGTAAGGCATTTAACCTCTGCACGTATTTTTTTTCAAGACTATTTGCACTTTGCTGTTTGCTTGCATTTTTATTTGCGCGAATTTTTTTGGGGGAATTTTTCACCCCCCCCTCCCGGGATTTCTAATGGTCCGCCCCTTAGCAATAGGAACATACGAACGTTCTAAGCATAACCGTTAATAGTATGATAATAAATTATCGATATTTAAAATACTCTGAAAAAATGTGTAGTATATCTTTTAAGTAGTGGCTATAGTGTTTCATTGCTGTGGTTGCCAGATATCATGTGATCAGAGAGATTCCAGCAGCAAATAAACAAAGAAAAACATAATTTACAATTCATCTATCATCATAACATCCGGCAGCTTTGATGGTGAAAAATCATTGAAGATGAGGCTTTTTACCTACAATTATATACTACATTTCTTTTTAATTTAAAGTTACCCAAATATTAGGGTGACATGTGAAGTTTCCTTCAGGCCATTCGTCGATATTGTCAAAATATTATAGCTCAAAATAGTTTATTTAGCTCTGATTCGTAAATTAATGACAGATTCGGGAAATACAATCAACGGACGATATCCTAACTATTTATGTCCTAACCGATACCCTATTCTGATGTTCCACAGTATTGGACTAACTCGTTGATAAAACAAGATTGGCAGAACAAAACGAGAGACTTACTAGAAGTAACAAAGGCGTATACGCGTTTACTTTGAAAGACAAACGTTATACTAGCTCAATAGCTACCTAACATGCATATTTCGTATAAAACCATTAGAAGGTTTATGAGAGTTGGCATTAAGTTCGAAGACCGTATGGCCGGAAAGATATACCAGTGTATACCATGACAATATATTGAGTTGCTGTTCGGATTTGCGAGTGTTTATCTATCTATATGTACTCAGACTATTTCGGCTATTAGTAAACATTATGTGGACAAGTAGAATGTTTCCTCTCTGTCAATTAGATTAAGGTCAAAATTTGCTATGATTCGAGCAGAAAAGCGAAGTATGATGCCTACAACTCTTGCTGGTCGTCGGAGATCCGGATAAATTATTGATTGGTTATAGAAAGGCTTGGTTACGAATCAAGGGTGACTTTGTCCTAATGTGCATGGGAGTAAATGTATGCCTTCAGAGCGCGTACTATGTACGCCTTCGTATTCATTAATATTATTATCACCTTTTTCACAGATCTCTCCTTCGTATCCCTTCTTACATAGACATTTGAAAGGTTTCTCTGGATCCCAGATCATTGTTCCACCATTCTGACATTCATTCACTTCCCCTCTGCACGATGCCTTCAAAATAGTTGATTATACATGATCACATGCAAATATACTGGTATTTATTTTAAAGACTCGAAATGTTTAAATACCAGACAAGTTATATTTTGTTTTAAATAGCTAGTCGATTCATATTTGAACCAACATTTGAGTATACCAATTGCCTTTTACAGTCCATGTCGAACGACAAAATGTCCCAATTGTTATTTTCTGCTCGGCATTTTCGTCAAGCAACGCTCAAATATAAAATTCAAAGCTTATTGTTAAAACAATACAGTTTTATGTAAACGTGTGAAAAAAAATAATATCCCATGTTCAAAACATGTCCATTTTTGAACAAGAGCTATACAGACCTGCTAAGAAATTGCTATCAAATAATTTACAGACCTTTTGCAAAAAATATCTTATTAGAAAAAATATCTCGATCAAATTAAGGGTTGGGAGTATATACGTGACTCGAATTCCTATATTTGGGAACGTTTTCCGATATACAATATTTTTCAACAGTTCCAGGAATTAAAATTTTTAAAATGGGACAGTTTTTATCTGGGAGAGTGGAGGCTAATTTCCATAAATTTCATGGACGTTCATAAAATTATTAAACGGAAAGTTTGAAAGACTCTAGGAAAAGTCTGAAAGAATCGAGCATGGAGAGTTATATATGGTCAACGAAATTCCGTAAGGCAGCCAATAAGAAATAGGTCCTGTGCACTTCAGGTTTTTAAATGTTTAAATGGAATAACGCCAAAAGCCTTTCAAGATTATTTTAAAATGTTGCACATGCTAAATGTACACGTGCGAATAACACGAATATTGTCCTTCCGAAGATCAGAGGGCCGGTTGTTGAAAGTTCGGTTAGCGCTAACCTGTTTTAAAATATAACCCGCTGTTCTAGTTTGTGTATTTCTGTACGTCTGTTTATTTCAAAACTTCAGAGAAATAAACTCCTATCGATCTCCGGATCTCTGAAAAATATTTCAAAATTTATAGACAAGTTGTCAGAAAGTTTTCTTTGAATTTTAGGTTAATCTAGGGTTAAGCCAGCTAACCCAGCTTTGACTACCCGGTCCTTGAACTGGAACTGGAAAGAATACCTTTGCTTACCAAGGACCGGAAATTATTTTTAACAAACTACCTATAGTGATTTGAAGACAGAATCATCACTTTAAGATGAAAGTCTAGCTGCAAAGGTTTTATCTTTGACTCTTAATCTGTACATACATACATTTTATATATTTTATACAATTTTAGGGAACTATCATTGCTTAATGTAATATTGGTAATATAGTTTTAGTTTTAGTGGACAGTAACATCGACAGGTCCTTGGTTGATACCAGTAATCTATGTTGCTGAAATAAGTTTTTAACCTGTATAAATATCACAATGATATTATTGTTTTTATTACTATTATATTCTCCCGCAAATATTGGCGTCTAGGAGTGGGAATCTTTTTTATATTTTTAATACATTCGTGTAAAATTTCCATTTTCGTGTGAAATTTTTACTCTGATCGGACATTTTAAGCAGGAGGGGGGCTTAGCCTTCTTTTTCATAATTTTCCCTCTAGCCCTCCGCCTGTTCCGCTACCTATGTAAAATAATTTAGAGCGATTCTGGTATTAATGGTGGCTATACCCTTAGTTTCCAAATAATCTAAAACGTATATACATAATTGCTTACCACCTGACTTCGGTCAACATTATCTTTGATGAACGTCCAAACTCGCTTTTTTCTGCTGGCATTATTGTCAAAATTATGTTGAGTCGTATTTGTCAACTGACAGTTCCATTCGTTCCCCTCAGACTTCTCCTTGTAGTTGAATGCAACACAGAAACGGTATTCTGCGCAATTAAGGCCGCAAACCTCGTACGTTGGTTCTTTGAATTGAGCGATGATGTTTGTTTTTAAACTAGTCACATCTAAAAATATTAATTTATTCATTCTGTGGTTTCATATAACGTCACGTGGGCGGCAAGGGTCCGTGGCAAGGCTAAATGAGAGCGTTTATGTTGTTTTATGTTGGCCAATATAATAGTCGGAAAACTCATTTACATGACAGCCATTTTGTTTCCTAGCTCTTTCGGTTGGCTTCGTTTAAATGATTCACCCACACTTTAGTCAAATTAAGCTAAATTATCAAGGGAGAAAAGTAGGCCCTCAGAAATTTACTTATATAATTGCTATAACTTAAATGACTTAGTACTACATTGAACTGGTTAAACCGATTCCAAGTATCTCTTTTGTCCTTTAGTATAATAGTATCGATCCACGATAGTGTACATTACATGACGTAGTATACGGAGGGGCGGAGCGAGAAAGAGAGACTTTGCTCATCAGCAATCAGTTCAGTTAGATGTCAAGTTGATTTTCAGGTAAATTCAGGTAGATTTACAGAAGATATTCGGGTAAATTCAAGCCAATACAGGTGATTCCTAGGACAAGAGAAAGTTAATTCTAGAAAATATCTTTGAATTCGGAAAAAACTGAGGTGTTTTTGACAAAATTTGGGGAAAATACGTTCTGTCCGGAAAAATTTTTTTGATGCCACGAAAAACTGTGATATGTCCGGAAAATTTTTTGTAATTGCCGTAGAATGATAGTATGGCCGAAATTTTTTTGGCGACGGGGGGGACGAGATCTCAACAAGATAATTGGAAAAAAATTTTCAGGTAAAATTTGAAATTTGGATCAATTTCAGGTAGATTTAACCAAACACCCCCTGACGCGAGTTCCTCGCGACGGCACTGACCGGGCTAGTTTTCCAAAGGTCGTAGGTTCGATTCCCACCGTGGCCACGCATATTTTTCAAGCTTGCCCGGTGTGGATATACACTTAGAGTAACACCACAAGCATCATTAAAAAAGCTTTCGACTCAATCGACCACTCTATCTTACTAAAAAAGATGAATGAGCGATTTAGAATTTATGGGGTTGAACTAAAATGGTTCGAGTCTTATCTTACAAAGAGACAACAAGTGAGTTTTGTCGTCAATGGTCATACATCATCACCTAGACAAATAATATCCACAAGACTTCATTCTTGGTCCACTATTGTTTTTACTATACAAGGTGTATAAAAAACTGAACAGATTTGAAATTGCTCTCAATTTCGAAAAACAGCTATTAGTATCCATTTTTTTATATATATGGCTTCTTTGGGTACTTGTAATGTAGAAAAATGAAAAAATTTTCGCGAACACAAATTTTGTAAACCAGGTGGGTTTGTCTTTTCCAACAAACTAAAAATGGCTTGCTCACGCAATTTAAAAGATATAATCGTATTTTGAGTTACCGGATGAAAAATGTGTTGGGTGTTTAATTGCTGCACGAAATTGCAGACAATTTGCTTCAGTTTAAGCCCTTCAACTATTCATGCAAACTTATGTTTTTCCAAAAAAATCAGCAATTTGCATGCTTAATTAATGCAGTTGCCCAATTTGCATATGTCAGCAATATGCAAATTAGGTAAAGGCATTAATTAAGCATGCGAAAAGCTGATTTATTAGAAGCAAATGGATAGTTAAAGGGCTTAAACTAAAGCAAATTGTCTGAAATTTTGTACAGTAATTAACTCAAAATACGATTAAAGCTTTTAAATTTCGTGCGCAAGCCATTTTTAGTTTGTTAGAAAAGACACACACCCCTGGTTCACAAAATTGGAGCTCGAGAAATTTTTTTCATTATTCTACCTTATAAGTACCCAGCGAAATTGAGAGCAATTTCAAATCTGTTCAGTTTTTTTTATACATGCTATATGTTAACGATATGCCAAAGTGTCTAAAATCTACAACCCCTTGCCTCTGCGCTGACGATACCGAGATTTTTCCATCATCACTTGATTATGATACACGTGTTAAAAACCTAGATGATGATTTAAAAAATCTTCACAGTTGGGTTGCCAAAAATAAGTTACAACACCCGGGCCAACTAAAACAAAATTGATGTTCATTGGATCACCATACAATCTTAAAAATATGATTGGTGATGCTACTGTATTTTTTTGCGACAAACCAGTTCCATTTTAACTCATTCTCTTAAAAGCTTAAGAGCAGACATCGATGAAAATTTGAGCTGGGAAAAACATAGTGACAAAATATGTAAAAAGGCAAATGCCGGTATTGGGGCTATTGAAAGCGCTAATTACAGGTAAACTACGTGAAGCGTTCCTCTTTTCACTTCCTAACTCATTTGGAATTTTCCTCATTAGCTTTGCAGATTTGAAAAACTCTTTGCAAATCTCTTGAGGGAATTTGCAATGTTCCTATCGGCTGTTGCAATATTCCAATGCAAACAAACTTCATTATAAATTTTCCTAACTTCATAGCTGCATCTTGTTAAGTCTCAAATTCTTTTCGATAACACACTAGGAAATACTTTCGATTTTCATGTCCCGAATTCGAAACGGCCTGGTTGTACCGAATAAAGCATTAACAGATAGCCCATATACCGTAGATGTGAAGAGTGAAAATTTTTAGAATGTCGCAAATTGACAGTTCTGCTCTAAAGAGCTTGAAGCGCAATAGAATGCGCGCCTATCAAATCTACATCTTGTTTATAAGTCTCAAATTCGTTTCAATATAACATACTGAAAAGAGCTGCGATATTTATGTCTATACAAACGGAGACTTTATGCTTAAATAGGGCAAAGACAGAAAGCCTGTAGACCATAGATTTGAAATATGAAATATTTAGAGTGCTGCACATTCATGGTTCTGCTCTAATGGGCATAAACGCAATAGAATTGGTGCCTAACTCGCATTTTGTTAAGTCTCGAATTTTTTTCGATTACGCACCCGGAAAACGTGGAATTTCCAAGCCAAGAACGGCTTTTCAACAAGTTGTACTAGCAATGTTGTTATCTATCAAGTTGCCAGAAGGTTGTCACTCACAACTTGTTGACAAAGGGGTCAAACCTAGGTCCTTTAAATGGCTAATAAGTAATAAGTTAACATTAAACCTTACGAAAACTGACTATATGCTTATTGGATCACAACAAAGGTTAGATAAAATCCTCGAAACTCCAAATATACTATATGGCGAACATCAGATAAAAAGGGTGAGGGAAAAAACTGTTCTTGGACTCATAATTGATGACCAATTAAAATGGAACAGACACAATGATGAACAGTGTAAAAAAATCTCAAGAAGCATAGCCCTTTTACGAAAAGCTAAAGACTTTGCTTCACAAGAAGAATTAGTCACAATTTATAACTCATTAGTCTTACCACATTTTAACTATTGCTCTACTATTTGGAATGATAATAACAAATCTCATATCGATAAATTATGGAAATTACAAAAGAGAGCTGCACGGGTTATAACTAGTTCTGACTACACTATTGGATCATCCCAAGTTTTTGAATCCCTTCAATGGCATCCAATAAAAAATCTAACAAGTCTGCTGAGCTCAGCAACCTTGTAGCAAGCTTGTCAACAAGTTGTAACAATGTTGTTATTTATCAAGTTGCTACAAGGTTGTCACTCACAACTTGTTGACAAATTGTTGAATTTCAGAAGAATACCAAGTTGTTAGAACAAAATGTAACAAATCTGTAGAGTTCAACAAGTTGTTATGGGGAATATCACGCGTGCGCACTTCTTTGCTGCGAAAATTTGCGATGAGCTGTTTGCCGCACACTATAGGAACTTTTTGTCACGAATGACAGAAAATATAAACATGTTAGATATATATTTGTTGTTCGCGACACGAGTGACAAAATTCCTGAGTATTTTCCCTGCACACTAGGACTTTTGTCGCACGTAATTGGTCACGAATGACAAGTGTGCGTGCAACTTGCAAGCGTGCGCCTGCCTTAATAAAATCGCTTTTTATAGTGTAATGAAGAACGAATATCTCCTTTCGGTTATTTATTAAAAAAGGGAGACTATAGCTTTTTATACAGAATTTCATGTTGAATCGAATAGCAGTTTCGGAATTTCCATCGACCATGCACACAGATCTCTGCTCACTATACGAAAGAAATTTGCGTGCCAGCGACTAAGTGTCGAATAGCGCATACAAATTACTAAGAAAAATATTGGTACAAGAAATGTTGTTATTTTGCGTTTTCGGCCGGTTAATTGTTCTTGAAATGATATCAAAAGCTAAAATAAATTTGTAAAAATGTAAAGTAAAATTCGAATTTGAGCCTTAATTTATAAAACAAACTTCAAAGCAAAGCTAGACAAAAGCGCGCGAAAATTCCCAGCTGAACCCACGGTGCCAGACAATGAATTTTCAGCGGCATGACTGTTATTCTGAGGCAATAAAAAGTAGGTTAAATAGATAGATAGTGTTAAAACTAGGGTTAGAGTTAGGTTAGTGTCTGAGTTATGACTAACTTTATGATCACATATACCTTACAATTTGCTCAAGCTGCTTTGCTCACATTAAGATCATAAACAGCTAAGAGCAAAATATTGTCTGTTTGTTAGCCTTAAAACGAGATTGTCAGGTTTAAAGTCATGAATTTCAGAAGTGCACTTTCAACTGAAAGTTATAGCAAATGTTTGGTAATAAAAAATTCAAATAAACTCTTCAAGGAATGCGAAATTTTTCAGACAAAAAGCGTTGTGGGAATATGTTTATGAAGTGTTTGGGTTGGTTTCCATGCATGAAAACGATGTTTGGATGCCCTAAAATTCATATTAAAAGTTTGCCAACTTCAGGCAAACAATTAAAATTGGCTCGTCCTGTTGCCTACTGTATATGTAATTCTTCTTTCTTTGTTTTTGTATTCTTAATGTATATTTCTCCAAATCACACCCCTCATGGAAATCAGCTCCTAGTTGTTGAGGCCAGCGTGCCTAAATAAATTTTTGTAGCCTATGTATGTATGTATGTATAGCCGCTTGATTATACTAAATTAATTTTGTTTACAAGAGCAGCTATTTGAACTAGCTTTGCATGATAAATTTACGTGGTCTTTCCACAAACAATAATATTATATGTTTTTTCGCCATGCAAACCTACAAAGAACTTATTATTTGAACTAGATTGAATACTTATAAATTTCTGAAGGGAGAACAACTCTTTTCGCCTTAACTTTAGTTAATTACAACTCTTCATGGAACTGTCAATCAGTCTATTAAAACATAGGACATAGAATTTCATGAACAAAGACAAGTCTCAATGCTTCCTGCTTAGCGTATACGATTTATCATGTTAACTGTATGGACTATAGAGTTGCTTTCCAAAAATAGAACTGGAATTTAGTGGTTGAGAATTGAATAGAATTAGTGGTTGAGAATAGAAGTAGAAATTTTTTGGCAAATTATTTAACAGCAATGAATTTCTCCACAGTATATACTTGACAATTCTGCCGCTGTTTGGCAATATTTGCGAAAAGGTAAAAAAAAAACAGCTGCAATGTCTGAAAACGTGCAATAAAGATTTAGAAAGTGGTTTTTCCCTCACATACTAGGCTACTTTAAATTAAGCAACAATGTTTCACCGAAATTAAATGCTAAATTAACTCGTGCCGCCATTTTCGACTTATTTCAAAAATTGTCTGCAGAATGCTCCAACTAATATATAAGCATTATGTATTATTATAGCAGTATGTAAAAAGCGCTTTATAAATTATTAAATTATTATTGTTATTAGGTGACAAATTAAAATTATTCTGTTTATATATACGGAGTGAGGTTATAACAGTATATCATGAATCCATATTGTATTTCAGTAATATAACTGGTCAAAATAGCTTGATTGAGGGAGAAAACTTTAAAAATTATAGCGGAAAGTCATGGTTTTGGCAAAATACAAGAAACTTGCGGATATAGTAATGATATGACATGTACATTACAAACACCTGTGTTGGCTTAAACCAACCAATTATAACGCATTATTTCTAACGAATGCGTCGAATGAGGCACGGTCATATTACATTTATCCCATCTGGAACTCAGTTGAAAGTTGACATTCATCGCTTCAGTATGAAATTCTTTCGTATCATCAAGATTTCTTTGTGGATTTTTCTGGTGTTTCAGGTGATGGATGACTTCGTAGCTGGACAGGTTAACACTATGATTCCCATGGGCCAATCTGAGACGTTCCCTATCATACATACCCGTAAGTCGATCTGCTAAACATTTTTATAAATTATTTTTAAATATAGTACTAAAAATCTCTTGAATTTTTCGAATATAAAAAGAGGGAACGTTTACCGAGGATTTGTAATAAGATTTTGTAGTTCAGTATATTCTTGGTTCAAACTTTAAAACGATCCGCGGCAAACCTTTCCGTACGATTCTTATTGAAACGTCCCGGGCAACTTCTTGAAATTATATATACAAACCGGCGGCACATACAATTTTTATGCCTCGCTAAAAATCAATAAATCAATAAATGTATTTCACCAAAAATATTTCACGTTCACCAAAACCTATTGACTTGTAATACCCACTTTGCAAATCAATAAAAGCAAGTTTCTTATAGGCTCTGGTAGACATCATGACTTTTCTTGTGTCTGTTCTCTTAACCCAAAAGACGCCATGCAGATTCTCTCATGCATGCAGACCGAAAATTTTCCATCTTCACAAATGATTTGAAAGTTTCAAATTTCTCTCGAGAAATACTAATTGATTTTTATTTTCTATTGTTCACTTTCAATCGTTGAAGGATTGGCAAAGCCATTGGAAACCTTTTATAGATTTTGAATTTTTCGTCTTTCGATCTGAGAGAGTAACAAGTCTGGATTTTTTTCTGTAAAGTGCGGGAATAAGCGCTTTGAAATTTCAAGGAAACGTAAGCGTGGGGAATTCAATTCAATTCAATTCAAAAGTCTTTTTATAAGATCAAAAGATAAAAATACATAACTTATGTTACAAGTAAATATTAAGAATACATTAGTAAAGTTTACATCATATGAATAGGTTATAGTTAAAAATTAATCTATTTGCAAACGACAATTTAAAACGTTCCGTGTTCACTCTTGGATACTGACTAAAGATTGTCCTCAAAGAGTAGCTTGTGGATTTTTTTCTTGGTATCAAGTCGACTATGGCACTCTTCTGATATACAGAAGCTTTAAAAATATTTCTGTCTTGTATTTCTAAAAGATATCTAATATTTCCAGGTTCTGATATATACTTTCGCTTAAAACATCTGTCAAAAAACCGTTGTAGAGTATTGAATTCGGCTGGAGAAGAACCGTAGACGGACAGGCCAAACGTTATAGTAGATCATGGCTAGAAATCCAATACAGTATGCGGTTTGATCTGCAGGCTCAAAATTACATAAATTGGGGATTTGCATAAATTAATTACTTGGTATTAAACATTGCGGTTCATTTCTACAAGGAGTTGAACGAGTTAAAGAGTCTTGTTCTGTGCAGCACAGCTGATTTTAAAAGCAAGAACAAGACTAAACGCGGCAAATATATTGTGAATATCTAAAGCCAAAAGGTCAAAACTATATCCTGCGTACATTGAGCTTCATTAGCATATGCGAATGAAGGGCTTGCAATTGCTAATTTCCATTGCAAATAGCAATCTAATAGCGGAATATCATACATGTTTAATACAACAACACTGTAAAAATATATAAGAAACAATTTATATGTAAAATGCCTCTTTATTGACCTTTATTGATGAATTTCGTAAATTGCGAAATTTGATTCCCAACAGAAAGCGAGACAGAAAGTGTATATTTACCAAGCCAAATTTCAAATTTAACCCTTATTCGCGCTTTTATTTCTGCATCCACGATCAAATAAACGTTGCAGCGGTAAACACCATGAAAACCATAACAACAGTTCTAAAATGGCGACAAGAAAGCATTGTATTGCTTCGATTTTCATGTCGTGTTCAGTGTTTATGTCGGCGCTTGGTCGATCGATTGACAACAACTCTGCGGCACTAAATCGCACTTTTTTATGGCGTTTGGGAACCTACTTATGCACCTATCAATGTTAAGCCCCAGAGGGGGGGGGGTCGGGCATATATGGGGGATTTGATCGATCTTTGTCTCCCCACTCTCGGGAATTTGATCCTTATTTTCCTCCCGAGGGTGGGGATATTTGAATTCAGCGATCAGGAGTGAATATTTGAAACCGGAAGTTGTGACCGGAAGTTGTGAGCCTGGGACGAATGACTTCGCTTCCATTTTGAAGGAAATTTCCTTTTTGAAGGAAATTTATAAACTAATTGAATGAAATTATCAGGAAATTCGAATCTGAAGGAAATTTCGGAAGATTGAAGGAAATGTGAAGGAAATTGCCTTATTTCTAAAAAAATCCTAAGAATACGACAATTTCCAAGGAAATGCGCTTCAAAATATGCTGAAAATCCTGTCCTGCGAGATGCAAAATCTTTTCTTTTTTCAAAAATACAGCCCCTGCCACGTCTATGTTTCTTCTAGAACAAGAAATACCCCGTTATTTGAGATAAATTAGTAAATTACTATAAAATCAGTTTTAAGGAATTTTTTCAAAAATAAGGAAATTTTGAACGGTTAGAAGAAAATTATGTTTTTTGAAAATGGAAGCACTGCTTTCGTGGTCTTGGTCACAGAATAAAGACATACAGAAGTGTAACTTCCATTACAAAACCGTAAGGCCTTTTTTACCGAAATAGCTGGCGGCCATGTTCTTAGCAAGTGCCCTAAAGAGAGGCATTCACCCCCCTGGAATATTAAATTTTCAATATGTTTTCAGGGGGGTGACTGCCTCTCTTTAGGGCACTTGCTAAGAACATGGCGGACTGAAAAAATCCCTTACGCTCTTTTAATAAGAAGATACACTTCTGTATGTCTTTATTCTGTGTCTTGGTCAAGGACTGTTATATTTCAATATTAAAATATATTCGAAGTCGCTGCATTTTTTGAAGGTATTGTGTTGTTTTGAATATATTTTTGAATATATAATAAGGTTGTTTTGAATATAAGCCCCACAGTGGGGAATTTGATCACATTTGACTTAGATTTCCAGTCCCACAGTGGGGCTTTTGATCGAAAATTTGCACAAAAAGTCAAATCCCCCATATATGCCCGACCCCCCCCCCTCTGGGGCTTAACATTGATAGGTGCATTAAAGACGAAGATACGTCCCAAAAGGCTTCGCAAAACAAAGAATAAATATTCTCGAGTGTATTTAGACGTGCACATTACAGCCAAACCAACTGATTATTCCAAAATAAAGGCTTACTTTGGCCAACTTTGGCCAATTATTGGGATTTAATAGACACTTGTATGGGGAATAAGAGGTAAGAAGCTATCGAGCTAGGGAACTCATTTAGCCTTGTCAGTTTGTCGCGATATTTGTTCTAATTAATATTTGTGTTATATACTGACGTTTTAGACGTGCACATGTGAGAATTTGTAAGGTTATAAAACAAAAAAACAGAAATATAGTTTTTCCTCTATCAATTCTATACATTGCCGCCATTTTGAATTTATTTAATTTGCGCTCTGCATGCATGCTTTTCCGCCATACTGTATTGGATTTCTAGCCATGATTACTAGGGTCTTAAATAGATAATCTATCTCACATTGGCTATAGCCTTCTGCCCTGAGTGTTCGTATAACGTACAAGCATTTGTTTGCTTCAGGGCGCTGTAAAACACGGGCGAAAAAGGTACAATTCGAACTGAATTCACATTGCAATGGATTTGGGAACTGTGCTATTACTATATAGACAAAATCTTTTTTTCGGATTCTTAATCACGGCTGATTATATAGGGAATGTTGTAGTGTAGATATAAGTCTGAGATCACACTCACGAGGATCGATTGTTTTTGCAAAACAACTTCGTTCGTGTGTTTGTTTATAAGATGAAAAAAAGACGAAGACAAAATTTTTTAAACGGCTGTTGACAGTTGTCGTAAACCCTGCAACTGGAATGTGTGTTTGGATATCGGGTATGTTCAATCACATGTATTTTTGTCGAGTTCGCCCAGATGAAGCGCCATAAATTGATAAAAACAGCAAGTTCTTTTTTTCAAGCGATAGTTTGTTTTTGCAGTTTTACAAGCGCGGAAAATTTTTAACTTTTAAATATTTCATGCGCAATATATGAAAACTAGTTTTATTTTGATGTTTTTGTATAATTTAAGTACATAATTTTCTGAAAATCACTAAATGATAATGGGCTTTTTAAATTTTTAAACATTATTTTGCCCTTATTTTTGACATGCACATGCCGAAATCTACACATGGAATTCAAGCAAGCGATAGTTTGTTGTCGCAGTTCTACAAGCGCGGAAAATTTTTAACTTTTAAATATTTCATGCACAATATATGAAAACTATTTTTATTTTGATGTTTTTGTATAATTTAAGTACGTAATTTTCTGAAAATCACCAAATGAAAATGGGCTTTTTTAATTTTTAAACACGTTTGCCCTTATTCAGTTTGACATGTGCATGCCGAAATATACACATGGAATAGCATTGCCTTCCACTTCGCGTTTTAAATCTGACACCCTATGAAGCAAGCTGGAAAAAAGTATGTTTAAACAAAAAAGACCATTCTCATTTGATGATTTTCAGAAAATTAGGTACTTAAATTATACAAAAACATCAAAATAAAACTACTTTTCATATACGGTGCATGAAATATTTAAAAGTTAAAAATTTTCCGCGCTTGTAAAACTGCGACAACAAACTACATCGCTTGCTTGTATTCCATATGGCATTGTGTAGATTTGGCATGCACATGTCAAAAATAAGGGCAAAAAAATGTTTAAAATTTTAAAAAGCCCATTCTCATTTGGTGATTTTCAGAAAACTAGGTACTTAAATTATACAAAAACATCAAAATAAAACTAGTTTTCATATATTGTGCATGAAATATTTAAACTAGTTAAAAATTTTCCCCGCTTGTAAAACTGCGACAACAAACTACATCGCTTGCTTGTATTCCCTATGGGCTATGGCATTGTGTAGATTTTGGCATGTGCATGTCAAAAATAAAGGCAAAAAATGTTTAAAAATTAAAAAAGCCCATTATCATTTGGTGATTGGCAAAAAATTAGGTACTTGAATTATCCAAAAACATCAAAATGAAGCTAGTTTTCATATATTGTACATGAAATATTTAAAGGTCAAAAATTTTCCGCACTTGTAAAACTGCGACAACAAACTAACGCTTGCATAGGTTTGGCATGCACATGTCAAAAATAAGGGCGAAAAAATGTTTAAAAGTTAAAAAAGCCCATTATCATTTGGTGATTTTCAGAAAATTAGGTACCTAAATTATCCAAAAACATCAAAATAAAGCTAGTTTTCATATATTGTGCATAAAATATTTAAAAGTTAAAAATTTTCCGCGCTTGTAAAACTGCGACAACAAACTACATCGCTTGCTTGTATTCCATATGGCATTGTGTAGATTTTGGCATGTGCATGTCAAAAATAAAGGCAAAAAATGTTTAAAAATTAAAAAAGCCCATTATCATTTGGTGATTGGCAAAAAATTAGGTACGTGGATTATCCAAAAACATCAAAATGAAGCTAGTTTTCATATATTGTGCATGAAATATTTAAAGGTCAAAAATTTTCCGCGCTTGTAAAACTGCGACATCGCTGTGAACATTATGCAATTTGGAGTCTTTTGGCGGACATTTCAGTTGCATATTGTAAGTACGAAAACAGAAATAAAACAACCTTTAACATAGTAAAAACGGAATTTTCTGCTTGTTCCTTATCATTGAATATTTTCCTTAACTTTTATATTGCATTTGAATGCCTGAATATGTTAATGAAAATGTTTCCAATGTTTTCTAAATTGACAATTGTTTTCTAACTTTATCAAAACAAGATCACAAGTTGTGTCATTGTAAATTACGCAAGTGACCTGGTCATAAATCTTTGAATTAAAAAAAAATCCCACAAAAGCCCATTTTCTAACCTTTTCAGGTCGAAAGTATAACTAATTATAGATAATTTAAAGGGTTGAAGTTAATGCCTGAAAAATGTAAATATATTTTATGATAAAATCGCTATGCCTTCAAATAATTTCACATTTTAAAAATGTTTTTCCAACTCCAGCGATGTAATTTGCAATACTAATTAATTGCCAGAGTCTCTATTTTATAACAAGTTAATTTTTTTCCATTTTAAGGATAAATTTACCTTACAATTTGCACTCTTTGATTGTCCTTTAAATATTTTTGTCTCTTGTTTTTGCCTCGCTTCATCTTTAAAAATCCCGCTTAATCCGCGCATTTCGCACGCTCGCGCCAGTCTCCCGTGCATCACACATGGATCAGGCAAATATTAGCGCGTTTCACCGCCCGTGTTTTACTACGCCCTGGTTTGCTTTGACCAATTTACCTCGCACATGACTGGTGAGCTTGATATTGTCTTGAAAAGTAGTACCTAAAATGGGAAGTTCTTTGCATTGGGGTATATTATAAACATTGTCAAGTTGATCATTAATTAATTATATCCCTTCTTCCGGATGATAAACTCTTTACATTTAAAAATCATCTCTTTAAATCATGTTACGTACATCAGCAATAAGGCGCGCAGAGAGTTCTACGCACAGTTTATCAACGAAAATGGAAATGACCAAAATAGACTGTTTAGAGCAACAAATGCCCTCCTCCACCCGAAGGATGAAGTGTGCTTCCCTGATTACTCTGACGATACATCACTTGCGAATGACATTGGCCATTTTTTCTATACTCGTAAAGAGCTTGACGCTGTGGTTATTGATCAATGTGATAGTTCTCGACTAATAAATGACCCTAAGTTTGGTTTTAATCAAAGTCTGGAGAAATTCGAGGTTCTTTCAACTGACATGGTGTCCCAGCTTATTCAGAAATCAGCGAAGAAGAGTTGCGCCCTAGATCGTATGCCTACATCACTCGTGGTCAAGAGTCTAAATGAATTGCTACCTGTTATTACCTGCATGATCAACTCCTCCCTCTCGCTAGGTTATTTTCCTTCTGCTTGGAAATTCACCCTTGTCGATCCAAGGCTCAAGAAAACTGGTCAACCTGCATCGCTATCAAATTTAAGACCAATAAGTAATCTCCAGTTTGTTTCTAAACTGACGGAAAGAGCTGTAAGTGACCAGACACTTGAACACATTAAATGTTCAGATATATACCCAATCCTACAATCAGCATATCGAGCTGGTCATAGTACGGAAACAGCCTTACTAAAAGTACATAATGACATCATGTGCTCTATGGACCAACAAAGAGTCTCACTACTAGTACTTTTAGACTTGAGTGCTGCATTTGACACTGTAGATCATCAAGTGTTATTACGTCGTCTTGAGGTCAGCTTTGGAATAACAGGTACTGCCCTTAAATGGTTTAAATCCTACTTAACTAACAGATCTCAACGTGTGCTAATAAATGGTAACTACTCCGAAAGTTTCTCTCTCCCTCATGGTGTTCCTCAAGGCTCTTGTCTCGGTCCGTTGCTTTTCACAATCTACGCAAGCAAGCTATTCGAAATAGTTAAGTGTCACCTGCCAGACGTGCATGCGTATGCTGATGATACTCAATTATACCTTTCTTTTAAGCCGGACGGTGCTACTAATGAGCTTGATGTAATATGTGCACTACAGAATTGTATCAAGGATATCAGGACTTGGATGACAGTTGATAAGCTTAAACTGAATGATGGGAAGACAGAGTTTTTAATAATTGGAACTGCTGCTCAGCTCAAAAAGGTTAACATCTCTAGTATTGTCATTGGTCAAGATAGTGTTCCAGTAGTATCGTGTGCCAGAAATCTCGGAGTATGGTTTGATAACAATCTTAATATGTCACATCATATAAATAAGACTTGTCAATCTGTAGTATATCATCTTCATAACATTAGACGTATTCGAACGTTTTTAAGCTATCAAGATAGAAAGTCTGTGGTCCAAGCACTAATAATGTCAAGGATAGACTACTGTAACAGTCTTCTATTTGGTGTCACAGATGTACATCTGTCTAAACTACAACGGCTGCAAAATACAGCAGCACGTCTTATCTGTTCTATCCCTAAACATGATCACATCACTCCGACTCTCATCAAACTACACTGGCTTCCCGTTCGATTAAGGATCAAGTTCAAAATTGCCATGCTTGCTTTTAAATGTATCCATCAGTATGCACCTCTCTATCTTGTCGATCTTTTAAAAGTAAGAAAGACATCGTGCTATAGTCTAAGATCTAACGAAGGCACACTGCTTGAAGACTACAGCACAAAAACAAAGAAAACACTCGGTGACAGAGCATTTGTAACCTCCGCTCCAAAAATCTGGAATGAATTACCTATGTATATTAGAAATCTGCATAACTTTAGTATTTTCAAGAAATTAGTTAAGACTTATTATTTTGAAGAAGCCTTTAATGTAAATACTTCATGTAACATATAATCTATATAATCTTCTTTATATTTTTAGTTAGTAACCATTCAGCATAGAATAATTTTAGTGTAATTATGTTTTGTGATGCGCATTTGATCATATACTATAACATGTTAATTTGCGCAATATAAATATTAAATATTATTATTATTATTATTACATTTACCAGGGATACAAGTCATAAAATTATCGTCAGACCATCTCAGGAATTGTCCAACTGTATCTGTTGATGTATCAGGACCGTCACTCCAAACAGGCACTATTATATTTGAATCGTCCGCATATTTAAAAAGAGCGTTCTCACCGTCTATGTCCACCTCTAAATCATTTAGGAAAATATTAAAGGAATGTCAATGCAACGACAACTGCTAATCATGACAAAAGTACAGAATATAGTCTAATAAATGTATATAAATTACCACTCGATAATTTCCATCTACAATATACCCTTCAACTATGGATTGAATTTCGGCTCGTCTCAGCCTATATACAATCCAACGAAAACCAGTTTTTTTCCAGCGACCTCGCGAAGAAGTACTCAAATTATTTTCGACGTTTGCATGTAAATAATTGAAATTTTCCAAAATGTTTGAGTAAGTTTGAGTAAGTGTGAAGGATGCTTTGGAGATAGGTCGACTCCTGAAAATATACTTATGTTATATAAAGTCTTTATACTCTGATGAAATTTGCGTACGGGATATGGAAGTTAGCCTCAGTTATCACTTTGCAACATGCCTGAGACAGACATTTCAAAACAAACATAATTTCTTTCTGCATGGTTAGTGCCAGCGAGATATCTAAAAATGTGGTTTTGTTGATATCGAAAACGTGTGCTGTACAATTAAGCAAAAGTCATTAACAGTCCTTTAAGAATTCTAAAGGTGCAAAGCGAGATATCTAAATATTCGGTCTTGCTGATATTGAAAACGTGTGCTGTACAATTAAGCAAAAGTCATTAACAGTCCTTTAAGAATTCAAAAGGATATTTAGGATGGACAGGGAATGGGACTAATGGATAAGGACTATATTTATTACGCAGGCGTTAGGGTGTCCCTCATGGCCAAAAGTGCACTTAATACAACAGAAATTTATTGTAAATATTTGATCGAAAAATTCAAATTATTAACTCTGCGAGGGAAATGAAGTTTGTCAGACAAAAAACCTTACACTAATGTTTTGATAAAGAGATTGAGTTGGTTTCCAAGTAAACGATGCTTGTCATATCGAACATTTACAGACTAAGAGCCCTATAGCCCCTTAAACACACTAAAATAATTTTGTTTTCAAGTGCAGCTATTTGAACAACATCGAAGATTCATGAAACTTTCAAACAGCCTAGCATGGCAAATAAAATTTTATGACGAATACAAGTCCCCATGCATCCTGCTTATAGCATACAATTTCTCATGTTAACTGGTCTAGATCTGCTATCGCAAAAATATGCAACTGGAATTTAGTTTGTTGAGAATTGAATTCTGAAAATGAAAATTTATTGCAAATTATTTAAAAGCAATGAATTTCTGCACAGCACTTTCCGACACGACAATTCTGCGACAGTTTGACAATATTTGTGAAAAGGTAAAAAACAACAGCTGCAATGTCCGAAAACGTGCAATAAAACATTTGGAGAGTTGTTTTTCCCTCCCATACTACCATAAGCAACAACGTTTCACCGAACTTGAAGTCGTCTAAATTAAATGCCAAATCAACTAATGCCCCCATTTTTTACTTATGTATAATACGCTTCAAAAATGTCTGCAAAATGCTTCAACTAATATATAAGCATTATACATTAGGCATGATTAGGTGACAAATTTAAATTATGTCTTACGGAGTGAGGTTATAACAGTATATCATAAATCCATATTGTATTTCAGTAATGTAAGGTCTAAATAGCGTGATTGAGGGAGAAACTTTAAAAATGATAGCGGAAAGTCATGGTTTTGGCAAAGTGCAAGAAACCTGCTGATATGGTAATTTAATAAAAAATGCCTGACTAATGCGTTTCAAATATGTTTGTAGCATTAAATGACATATATATTATAAACACCTGTGCTGGCTTAAACCAACCAATTATAACCCATTATTTCTCACGAATGAGTCGTACGATCGAGCACGGTCGTATTACATTTATCCCATCTGGAAATCAGTTGAACTAGTTGAAATTCATCTCTTCAATATGAAATTCTTTCGTATCATCATGATTTCGTTGTGGATTTTTCTGGTGTTCCAAATGCTGGATGAATTCACAGCTGCACAGCTTAATACTATGATTTCGATAGGCCAATCTGACACGTTCTCTATCATATTTGCCCGTAAGTCCATCATCTTTACTTTTTTATATACATTTGTTTTAAATAGTACTGTGAGTCTCTTGAATTTGTCCAATTGGAAAAAAATGGAACTTTTACAGAGGATTTACAATAGGTTTTTGCAGTTCAAAGCCGATATACTCTGGGTTCAAATTTTAAAACGACCCGCGGCAAACCATTCCGTACGCTTCTCATGGAAACGTCCCGAGTAACTTCTTGAAATTATATGACAAACGGCACATAGAATTTCTATGCCTCGCTGAAAATATATTAATGCATTTCACGCTCAGCAAAACCTATTAATACCCTCTTTGTAAATCAATAATAGGAAGTTTATTAAACGTTTTATACTCTGGTTGATTTTCCTTGTGTCCGCTTTCTTGGCTCAAAAGACGGGAAATTCTTTCGCATAGCAGACCGAAAATTTTCAATCCTCACAAATGATTTGGAAGACAAAGAGAATTGAGTGCAAGTTTCAAATTTCTCTCGAAAAAATACTAATACATTTTTACTTTTCTATGATTCACTTCCGATCGTTAAAGATTGACAAAGATTGGAAACATTTTTTTAGATTTTGAATTTTTCTCTTTTGATCTGAGAGAGTAATAAAATAAGTCTGGATTTTTTTCTGTAAAATGCAGGAATAAGTGCATGCTGTGAAATTTCAAGGAAGATTAAGCGTGGGGAATGTCAATGCAAAGACAGCTGCCAATCATGACAAAAGTACAGAATATTCGACAATTGTTCGCCGAAGGCGAGGTGATTATCGGTGAATAGAAACCGAGACGAAGTCGAGGTTTGTATTCACGATAATTACCGAGCCTGAGGTGAATAATTGTTTTAGTATAATTTCATTATTTGGAAAAAAGTAAAAAACTTGAAAGATAACGGTTATCACTTTGTTGATTGTTTTATACATTATAAGACCCAAATTTCTAAGAACGTCTTTTTTCTAGGTTATCCCTGCAGTTTATATAGAATTCAAAATCTTAACCGAACAGTATAGTCGGACCCGTGTAATAATCCGTGCAGCTCATTGCCCCAGACGCTACTGCAATAATCAAAATGTGGTTGGATCAACGAGTTATAAATTATGACGAGGACTGACAGTGGGAGATATAATTTTAACAGCCAGATAGCTGCAATTACCTTGGTTACTTTTTCGGTAATCGTGATTATATGTTCATCCCAAGAAAAGAGCTCATCCAATTCAATTATGCCTAAGCTTTTGTATGTTTTAACATGCTTAATATTATCGGTCGATTAGCCGAATTATCAGGTTGATTATGTATGGTTGCTAACTTGTGGCGCGTGCATGGATATATAAACATACATTTAATTCTAAGAGCGTGTAAGCTTAGTTTATTAGAATCGAGCCAACTTTTTAGGATATTTAAGTTTCTGTTCATGGCAGAGAAAACTTGGTTGTAGTCTTTGTCCACATATATCAAATTTGTGTCATCAACAAAAAGACGGCAGTCAGACTTGAAATTACAATCTGGTAGATCGCTTATACATATTAGAAATAGAAGTGCTCCCAAAATAGATCCCATACTGTGGGACCACACAATGAAAACTGCATTTTTATGATGATATATTATTAATAACAGTAACTTCAGTTATAGTTCAGAAATATAGTAAGGAAAAATGGCAAGAGTATTGTTACTGAAACCATAGCACGAGAGCTTTTTTATTAGAACATTATGATCGATTTTATCAAAAGCTTTCTTAAGGTCAATGATCAGGATTCTATCAATTAATCCATTGTCCATATTAGAATACCATTCATTAGTATAGCACCAATGGTACAATAATATAATGCAGTCAATGTGGAATGTCCTAAGGGTCTAAAAACAAATGCTTTTCGCGTAGAAAGCGTCTCAACTAATTTTAGAATTTCAGTCATGCTTGTTTCACTTCATTTTAAGAATCAATCTCAGCCGCTAATTTGGGTTCTATGCATGCTTGTGAAGTGAGTATTGAAAACATTACTCACCTCCACTGGATCACTGATCTCAGTGTTGCCAACCGGAACTTTCGTAGTTTGAGTCTGTTTCTTGTTTGTTAGAGAGTAAACTATTAATACCTTTCCAGGTATTCTTTATATGGCCCTTATTATCGTTGAAGAAATAGAGAATAATGCATGGGTGCGCGGAAATACCAGATTTATTTCGAGTGTTGAACATGATATCTCACGAGTGAGCGCAGCGAACTAGTGAGATATCTTGTTCAATACGAGAAATAAATCTGGTATTTCCAAGCATATAATATATATTTCTAAGCATATATTATATGATATTTGTGGTGTTACTCTGAGTGCATATCCACACCGGGCGAGCTTGAAAAATATGCCCGGCCACGGTGGGATTCGAACCTACGACCTTTTCCAAAGGGCATATTTTTCAAGCTCGCCCGGTGTGGATATGCACTCACAGTAACACCACAAATATCATATTCACCTGAGTACACTTACCCTGGTTGCCAGAGGTTCTGTATCTTTCGCCTTATTCCCGCTCGTATATTTATTTTACGCGAGGCGAAGAGAACCTCTGGTGGCACGCGATACAAATCTCACTTCCTTTGGTACAAAATTTGTACCAAGCACATGATTGGTTAGTTATAATTAGCAGTCACATGAAGTGATGTGATTGGCTAGACAAAAAAACCTGTTTATAAATCTCAGAGACATGATGTAAACAAAATACAGAAATAATACGAACGTATTAAAATGCTTTACTGAGTGTGGGTTATTTGAGTTTAACTTCGTTTGTTCCGCTATAAAAAGACTTTCTGCGCTGGAGAAGAGCTGCAGTGCCATCGCGGCATGATTTGAGTCGACGGCATGACAGTTCACTCCATTACAGTAGTAATACTTGTAAAATATAAAGTGTCGGTCACTTGCTTTATATCGTTCAAGGTTTTAAATTTTGGCAATTCTTTGACTTTAATAGTTATTAATATGATTTATTTTGCCAATATTTTTCCGTTGTCTGTCAAGGACAACCATACTGGCTCCATTGCACACGTATATATAAATATTTATACGTTTATATTCTTTCACTTTTGGCGCTATAAATAGACCTAATACAAACGGCATTCCACAATCAGCAAGTGTGCTTTTTGCTTTGTGCGTTGCGAGAATAATCTACATGTTGCATACAGTATTTTTAGTATTTTAGACAAGGCTGTCTGAAGAGAGCTATTTTGGTAGTATGACAAACCCGGAAGTTTAAAAACGTCACAAAATATAAAACTGGTTTTGCAAGTTCTCAAACGGCAACGTCAGCATGGAAGAGAGATTTGTATCGCGTGCCACCAGAGGTTCTCTTCGCCTCGCGTAAAATAAATATACGAGCGGGAATAAGGCGAAAGATACAGAACCTCTGGCAACCAGGGTAGAGTACACTACACCAACACAGAAAAAATTCATATTACTTGAATACATTGGTATTGAAGGAACTAGATTCTGTTCCGAAATATCACTTACTCGAACCGTCCTGACCGCGTAGCTCAGTTGGAAGAGCATTGAGCTAGTATTCCAAAGGTCGTAGGTTCGAATCCCATCGTGGCCGGGCATATTTTTCAAGCTCGCCCGGTGTGGATATGCACTCAGAGTAACACCATAAATATCATAAATATCATATTCACCTGAGTACACTACACCAACACAGAAAAAATACATATATTATATATTTCCAAGCATATATTATATAAAGGACTGTCTTTGAAAAGCGATATTTTTTACAGAAAAGCGATAATTGAAAAGCGATCATTTTCAATAAGATGAAGGAAAGCCAAAAGCCATTGAATGAAGCATATATTACTGAGAATGAGTTAAAACATCTTCGAAAAGGTTGAAATTGAGACACATGCAGTCATATAGTACGTTTTTAACCACTTAAAAATTGCATAGCAAAATCAGTTTCCTATAATTAAACGAAGTTCTGCGAAATTGTGCAAAGAAATACAGATAATATATAGTTTCAATCGTGTGATATTTGGACTCAAGTGGGAGTCAATCATTGAAATGAAGTGAACCAAAAGAGCTAGGAAACAAAATGGCCGTCAATGCATCTTATGTAAATTAGTTAATTAGTTGGACGAATTTGGAACCGGGCTGAAATTCGTCCGTTTTGGTCTTTCGTTTACACGAAAACCACTGAACCGAACGAATTTGAAACATCCTAATTGACGAATTCGCGGGTAAAGACGAATCCCAGCCTAATCCTCTAATTAAACAGAAAGTAGATCTTATGGCAGACGAGCCTTTGCCAAACCCCTTAATCGCCCAGAACAAAGAAATTAACTTACCCAAGAACGGGAATTCAAACTCGAAAACAAAATTTAACCGCGTCAGTAACGAAGATAAAAATAACAAGTACGTCAACTCTCCCAAAAGCTCTATCCCTTGCCCCTTTCTATCCAGGCGAGGATGGTGCGCTAAAGGGAACCGTTGTGATTTTCAGCATAAAGAGTTTGGTCGTGACAAACACAAAATATCCTGTGCTTTTCTACGAAGGAATGGTTTTTGTTTGAAATGGGATCGATGTGATTATTCTCATATCGGTTTTTCTCATGGTATAGTGGCTCCCAGACCCAGGATGAACGCCACTGCTTATCCAAGTTCTTCCCTACATACCCCTATCTATCAATGTGCTCCCCCTTTTCAACCAGATACGAGACACAACACAAGGTCACCTTTTTTGTCCCATTCCCCCTGGCCTATGATTTCTCCTTTCCCCCTCCCCCCACTGATGAATGCTCTTACTTGGCCCCCGCTGACATACTGAACATCCACGATCATAAACCCATGACATATCCCCCTTTATCAGGAAAACCTACAAAACATAACGGTTAGAATCACAAACAGAAGTTTTAACAAATCTTATGAAATACCCTCAACAACACACGGTAATTTAATTACTGTCTCATTTAAAACCCAAAATGAGAACAAAAAGACGTTCGTGCCCAACATTTTACTCACAAACACCATGTCACTCACCCCTAAAATTGACGAAGTCTCTTGTTTTATGAAAATTCACAATCCAGACGCTGCTTGTATCACCGAAACTTGGCTCCATGGATCAATCGACGAATCGTGTCTTTATGTAGATGGATATAATTTCATCTTCAAAAACCGTTCAGTGGGCTGTCATGGAGGTGTGGGTTTATATATTAAGAACTCAATATCCTTTGAATGTTTAGACCATCTACAGCATCCCTTGTTAGAGGTTCTCTGGGTACGTCTTACTCCCAAAAGATTACCCCGTGGATTTACCTGTCTTGTAATTGGCGTAATATACCACCCACCACGCGCCGATGATCATGAAATGCTCAGTTACCTTTCAATATCACTTACCACCATTGAAAGCGATTATCCAGGCTGTGGTCTATCTAATGTTAGCAGGAGACTTCAACCAATTAAAAGTTAACCGTCTACTGAACCAGTTTCAATGCAAACAAATGGTCAATGTTTCTACCAGAGCTGACAAGACCCTTGATCTAATTATTACCAACTTAAACTCGTTTTACGCTAAAGACTCTGTAGAGAAACATCCTTCCTTTGGCCTCTCAGATCACAATGTGGTCATTCTAAACCCTAAAAACAGATGCGATAAATCAGGTAGCCGAAAGGTCGTCATAAGTAAAGACATGCGTCCCAGTAAAAAGAGCGAACTCGGAAGATACCTAACCTCCTGTAATTGGTCCATCCCAAATCACCTCGAAACCTGTGAAGAAAAACTTGAGCTTTTCACTGATCTTATTAACCTGGGTATCAATATCCTAATGCCCAAAAGAAGAATAACACTACATGTGAATGATCCCCCTTGGATCACAGCTAATTTTAAGATTCTTATAAAAAAACGCCAAGCAGCATTTTCTAAAGGCAATAACGAACTGTTTAGGTATTACCGCAACCGAGTTAATCGCGAAAGAAAAAAATGCCGTGAAAAGTTTTATTCGTTGAAGGTTGAACATCTAAAAAAGTCAAAACCAAGTCGTTGGTGGAAAGAAGTAAAACAGATTGCTGGTATGACCCCCTCAACGGGAGCGGAAGATCTATATAACCAAATTTACATTGACGATATTGACCGGAAGTCTCCAAATGAGATTGCAAATCTCATAAACACAGCCTTCCTAGACCCCATGAAAACTTACCAACCTCTTACTTCTCTTCCCTCCTACGATCCAAATGACTCTGTCCTCCATCTCGACGAATTTGATGTGTATAAAGGGCTTGCGTCCCTTAACCCCAGAAAAGCCTCAGGCCCAGACGGTGTTCCGAATTGGGTGTTAAGCGAATATGCAGAAGTCCTCGCCCAGCCTGTCAGTTCGATTCTCAACAGCAGTTTTAATGAACAACGACTCCCTGCCTCGTGGAAAGCAGCTGATGTTGTTCCAATCATAAAAACGAAACCGGTAACCGAAATTTGTAAACATTTAAGACCAATATCCCTCACCCCAGCCCTTTCTAAAGTAGCAGAAGAATTCGTTGATTCTAAATACATTGGGCCAGCTATTCTGTGTCAAATCGACCCCAACCAATTTGGAGTGA